CTGATTACATTAATTCCGAGGGTAGGGGAAATAAATACTTCTCTTCAGGATCAGTGATGGAAATGTGTGATTCTTTTACAACACTGAAGTGCCACATGTCAGCCTAACCCACTGACAATATCAACTGATTGCAGGATATACCAGGTGTCTGGCTAGGGAATCACGCAACAGCACCTTCTACAATAAAAATGATTGTTGTTGTTGTTGTTGTTGTTATGTGCCGTCGAGTCGGCCCCGACTCATAGCGACCCCTCCTAGGGTTTCCGAGGCAGTATCACTACGGAAGTAGGATTGCCCAACCTTCCTTCCGAGGAGTGGCTGGTGGGTGTGTTTTTCAATGATGTCTGCTGTGAGAATGATTACTGTAGATTTGCTCCAGAATATCAAACCCCACTTGCGTGCTACCTCTGCTTTGGAACTATATGTCACTCACTGTCCCATAATTGTGCTCTCAAATTTGAAAAAAACAGCAGCAAAAGCTGTTTATGGTCATGTGAATCCCTCCCATAATATACTCATCAGAGAGCTCAATATCAAAGCCCATACAAACACTTGCATGATAGAACAAGTAGCATAATAGGGGCAGCTATAAACTTAAACTTCCAAATATAATTTGAAGGTAATAGACTGCAAAGCTTAGACACAGCCAGAGGACCTGGCGCCTGCAGAACTCCCAATTCTTCACCTCTTTTCAGAACCATCTGGTCATGGTTACTCAATTTGCCAACAACTAAGCATGGAGGGTTTGGAGAAGAAGAAGGTGGATATTTTACAAACACATCCTTTATCCATTTGATGAAATTGATAGAAAAACATGAAAATAAGTTTCTGATAAGAAGGTGGCTCTTCTGTGTTCTGTAAATCACTCAGAGATGAGGAAAAAAAAATCTAGAATGAACACTGAAAAAAAAAAATCCTGCATTCAGTTGAAGAGATAGGATGTAAAATACTATGTGTAGTCTTTAAAGATAAAATAGTTATGTATCAGATACCAGAGAAGGAAACTATAGGGCATTACTTAATCTAAACAATCAGAAAATACTATGTGGTGTTGGCAAAGAATACTGAAAATACCATGGACTGCCAGAAGACTGAATAAATCTGTGCCGGAAGAAGTGCAGTCAGAATGCTCCTTAGAAGCAAGAACGGCCAGACTTGTCTCATCTGCTTTGGTCACATTGTCAGAATGGACCAGTCTCTGGAAAAGGATATCATGCTTGGTAAAGTGGAGAGTCAGCAAAAAAGGGGAAGACCCTCAACAAGATGGACTGATGGTGGTTGTGGTGATGGGCTTAAGCGCAGCAACAAATGTGAGGCTGGCGCAGGCCCAGGCAGTGTTTTGTTCCGTTGTGCATAGGGTCTCTATGAGTCGAAGCTGACTCAATGACACTTAACAACAAGAACTTTACTATTACTAGAAAGACCTTGTGACTCTTCTTTTTGTTTCATTAACCATAAGACAATTAAGAAACTAATTATTTGAAAATTATTGGAAAAAACCTTTAGAAAGATACACAATTTCCAATGTACTCCACCTCCACATGTAAAAATATTTTCTTCAACCTGAGTGAAAAACAAATAAATAGGTATTGCCTGGGGACAACACTTTATTGTTTATGAGACAAAGTTCTACCGAAAGGAACTATCATGTTACTAAGTAGAATTATGTAGCATAAGGAGTCCTGGTGGCACAGGAGTTAAAGGAATAATGGGCTAAGCTACAGGTCAGCGCTTTGAACTGGTTACCAGCTCTTGAAAGAGAAAGATGTGACAATATGCTTCCATTAAGATTTACAGCCTTGCAACTCTATGGGCTAGTTCCACTCTGTCCTAAAGGGTTGCTAGGAGTTGGACTCCAGGGCAGTATGTTTGTTTTTTGCTTTTCCTTCCTAACCAACTGTTGTCACATTGTTGTTATTTGGGGGATGGAATGTTATCATACTGTTTTTATTTTGAGGAGGAGGCAGGCAAAAGCATATGGTATGAAATCCTGACTGGTGTGAATCCAAAGCTTTACACTGGTCACAACCTGAGTAAGGGATGGCACTAGGAGACTGTAGTTCCTCATTTGTCCACAGGAGAGCAACCATCTACCACTGCTTTGTGCTATGGAGGCTGCACTCTAAATAGAACAAATGTGTTATTTAGTGTACAATCATTTTTAATTTTACTACTGACAGTCTGACAGGTCTACTTAATATTGCTGGCTTGACCTTTCCATGATTTTGTGCTAAATCCTTTTTCCTTTTTTTCAAACTTTCCTTTATCTACTATGTTAGAGAGAATACAACTGACTTCACATTACAATATGCTGCAGTGACATTATCAGCCAACAGCACTGGTTAAAACAGGTGGGTAGAGAAGCAGAGTTATAGGCAGCACCAGATACCATAACACACATTATAGGACTAGATGTAACCAACACTCTCAGGGGGCCAGAATTCAGCAGGAATATTTAGGCTGTCATCAATGCCCAGAATCCCTGCACAGGGCCTTCCACGGACACCGAACAATGACATATGGGATGTAAAGTTAATTTTCTTAGGCTCAGTCCTATCCCACACTTCTTGGGTGAAAGATGACAGTCAATGTAGCAAAAGACCTTTCTTAATAGACAGAGTAAGCTAAAAGGGAAAAGTAATAAAACCTTTTCTCCAACACATCTAAGAGGAAGATGCAATTTGTAACCTAAATGATATATAATTACAAAGGTGGGGCCTGTATGACAAACAGCACAACAACATGGAAGTTGTTTAAATTCTTAAATATTGCTACTTAGCTGCTATTTCCCACACACTCACTTTACTCCAAACTCAATGATAAATGTTCCATCAGATTTGCCCCCCTTTAACTTTCCCACAACTGTAAAGGATATACTATAACTAAGCCAAATCAGCTGCCATCAAGTTGACTCTGACTCATGGTGGTCCCATGTGTGTCAGAGAAGAACTGTGTTCCTCAAGGTTTTCAATGGCTGGTTTCTCAGAAGGAGGTCACCAGCCATTTCTTCTGAGGCACTTCTGGGTAGACCTAAACTCTCAACCTTCTCTCAGGAGCTGAGGGCATTGCATCAATCAAGGACTCCTGTACTTTCATTCGTCCCATGTTAACAGATGAGGTAGCTGACACTAAAGAACATTCTGAGATGAGTTATTACAGGGGACACCAAATCAAGATTAAAGCCAGTTTGTCTGATTCCAGTGGGTAAGTGGTTAACATAATGCCATATTACCCCTCCATAGCCTCTGAAATAGGAAAGGTCTCTCTGAATATTTCTCAGCTCACTCTCTTTGAAAGAGCCTTTCATAGCTTTGGAGGGCCTATTCTCATTGAGAAGATGTCTGAGAAAAAACTCCCAAATAGGTTCTACCTCAGACCTTGGCTCCTCAGGGGATCTGTAGGAAAACCATGAAATGTGCTACCTCACTTTGTGGGTTATGACTACAAAGCTCAGCTGAATGTGCCGGAATTTGAGGCCTTTAATAATATTGGGGAGTTGATTCATAGCCCCTTTAGCGAGGTCATCACAGGTAAAAGACTCTGTCAATGATTTTTCAACAAAGAATATTTATGATTGAGAAATTTAAATTCAATTTCCTGATGATCTTCCTACTGAACAAATATGAGGTCAAAGATGAGGTGAAAGCAAACACAGTCACACACTTACTGCTGTCGAGTCGATCCTGACTCATAGCGACCCCTCCTTGGGTTTCCGAGGCGGTATCTCTATGGAAGAGATTGCCCAGGCTTCCTCCCAAGGAGTAGTTGGTGGGTTTGAACCACCAGCCTTCTGGTAAGCAGTCAAAGGCCTTAGGCACTATGCCACCAGAGCTCCCGAGGTGAAAGCAGACTCTCATAATTCATTTCCAATCTTATCTGTTCTCTTATCATAATCTACTTCCCTTCACTAACAAAGACAACTCTAATTTTGAGGGCTGGCTGATAGAAAAAGTGATAAGCCAGCACGGCCAGAGCTAGGGGATCTAAGCCAGTAATAAGCTGGTTTCCCAACAGCAAAGCCTGTAGTTTATATCACATCACATAAGGATCCTGCGATTAGTTCATGGTTAGTGCCAATCACCCTGGAAACTAATCCACTGAGTGCAATACACTGGGATTTCTAGGCAGAGGCTATGTTCCTTATCAATTGACTTACAGCGTCTCAGTTCAAAGGACTTCAGTATACTGATTGCAACTACATACCAGACAACATTTATGATTTGGGAAATTTCTTGAGAAAATTGTCTTGAGAAAAAGAGAAAGACTCAGCTGTTGAGGTCTGGACAGCTTGCCTTGGTCCCTGGTCCAATAAATGTGTGGCCAGCATAGGGCTCCATTTCCATCAGGAAACAAAACAGTTAAAAGGAATCATGATAAGCAAGATACACAAAATGGGATTCTATAGATTAGCTAGAAATGTCTGTGCTGCAGACCCACTCCAGCTATGTGAGATACCCAACTTAATGCAGCATGATTGACTTTAGCTGGGGGGTGGGGGATGGGGATCTTTTTATTGCCAGTCTAAGATGGATTCAAACTCCCTGTATCTACAGAGGAACAAGCCTGGAGCAGGTAACAGAATGGATTCAATGTGTGACTCATACTAAGATGAGCACAGAAGATTATTTGGCCAGCTACCCCAAAAAGCCTAAGTCTGAACTATCACATGAGTCAGAACGGCTCTGAATCTAGAGGCAGGGTATTGGTGCAACATGTCTGGCTTCTGTGGCCAAAAGACTACACTTGTACATACCCCAGGAAGTGAGGGAGTCCACAATCTGTGTTTGAGGGTAATGAAAACAATTTAACTGAATCTTATATAACTTTTTTAATATAGTAATTGGGTGTAATTCTAGTATTAGAAAAATTGAGGGCGGTACCACATGTGTGAGTAACCAAGTTATCTAGTCAGCAATGAAACATCACTATTACAGTTCAGTGCTGTAACATACATGGGAAACCCACATTAAATGGATGTTTGAAGAGCTCCCCATACGTACAATTTTCAGATGAGATAAAAGTCTCATGACATCCGCCATATCTGCCAGGATGAGTAGGCGTGTAACCGCTGATAACAAAGCCCTTGCTGCTCGCACCATAGTGCCACATTTCACTGAGGAGCACGGGTCATCAGCAAACTCTGAAGAGGCGATCCTCATCGTCTCACCTGGAAGGCAAACAAGACAGGAGGCTTAAAGGCTTGCAATCCCAAAAGATCTGTGGACAGGCAGCTAGTTACTGTTTTTATTGCGAAACTGTTGTTCAGTTGGCATTTCTGCCACCTTCAACCCAGCAGAGAGTCTTTCAAGTCAAGTGTGTAAGTACACATGGACTGGTGCTGTGGACAATATGAGGCTCTTTTAACATCAACAAGGAGTATATTCAATTCTGTTTTTCTTCCTTAATAGTTGAGATACATTTATTCTGAGCTTATTTATCTTCACTCTGAATTTTCCTTTGAACCAATAATATTTAATGGGAAGCCAGTTGAGGTATTCTCAGTCTAATGAGGAAACAGTTATGTAAATAAATAATCATAATGCAGTGACAAAATTCCATGATAGCATATGGTTAAGAGGGTAGGCAATTGAGAAAGGGGAGTGATTTACTCACTTAGTGTGGGGCTGAGGGAGGCTTTCAACTATGATGGTTACGAACACAAAGGTGGGAACACCTTGGATGTGAAAGGCTCCAAAACTAGAGCAGGATGCTTGGTGTAGGTGTGAGGCCATGTTTCCATATAACCACCATGTAGCCATTTTTGCAATATGCCTTAGCACGTATTCCACGCTTTAGTGCCTTAGTTACTGGAAAAACCACAAAGAGTCCTAACTACCCCCACCTCATCGATACCCAAGCACTCTCCTTAGCAACAACCAATCAGTAAATGATAGAGAAATACCTTACCTAAAATAGTTAGAAACGACAGTTGGTGGCTTCGGCCCACCAGACAGAGCCAATCAAGTAGGAACAACTAGCAACTTG